GACACCCACTGCATGTAGGTTGGTACATGTAATGGTCTCGCCAAGTCACGTGGAGTGTGGCCGTAGCAAAGATGAGTCTGGCCCGAGTCGCTTCCTTTTTGAAAACGACTGTACAAGATATGAAGAAGATTAAATACAAAGACTTGATATTTGACTGCTTAGGACTTCTTCTCTTGTTTTGTATCTGTTTAGTTTACGCTTTGAGCATGAAGAGACAATCGATCGATGAAGTGAACTGAACAAAATGGCAACCATATTGTAAATTACTCACAAAGCTTGGAGGAGTAAAGGCCAGAATTAAACTCAGCTGTTCTTTCTGTACCAGCTCACGCTCACACCCGGCACCTTTTTCGTGGCCAGGGCCGTGGCCCAGCCCTGCCCAGCCCTGTGTGGCCTGCCCTTGAAACAACTTTTGATCATAGCCCAACTCATCTTCAGGTGCTACTCCCTGCTTAAGGCACTCTTTGAAGGGGAATTAAGCTGAACTTCATGCACTATGAAGGTCATGAAGGGCTTGTGGTGAGGGCCACGCGTGGCCTAAGCCCTGGCCACGGCCATGTGCCCCTCCGGGGCGCCTCGTGGCTTCGGGGCCCCGGGTGTGAGCGTGAGTACCAGCCCACGCGCATACATGTGGCTGTCTGTCAACTGAAAGTGCGCGCAAAGGGGGTGCAAGCAGTGCGCGGTACCAAAATCACAGTCAAGTGTTTTCATTCAAAAACGTTTGAAAAAAATCAAACATTAAAAAAGACCAGCTGCAGACCAGCTAAAAGGTTCATCTTCTACAACTAGATTTGGTGTAAAGGATGAAATATTGATTCTCTTTTGCTTGAATAGAGAAAAAAAAAAAAAAACATGAAGCCCTCAAATTCACCTGAAAAGTCATCTCCCATGACCCAGTCTTTGAAAGTATCAAGCTCATCAGTCAGTACAAAAATTTCCAGATGATCATTGGTCACATTATCCTCAGAAGAATTGTTTTTCTTTGTTGAGATTGACTTCTGTAATAGCGGTACACAAACATCTCAACACAACCTCAAAAACCCATCCAAAAAAACCCATGGCAACCCAATTGATTTTGAGTTTTTAGCGCTAAAAATCCAAAAATCAATTGGGTTGCCATGGGTTTTATCAGGTCAGGCTGAGATGTTTGTGTACTGTTAATGTTTGGCTGAGAGACCCATTTGCACTTGCAATATCATATTCAAGGTCTGGGCTTTCATCCAATTTTGTGCCTTTGACTTCAATAAACTCATCAGGGAAAACAAACCATCAACACTGCCTTCATGTGGAACAATCTCAAGAATCTTGATTGCTAGATTCTTGAGTGAGCTCGTGTCTGAAGTCAATGGCAAAATACGACAATGATCTATAGAACAAGTATCTACAAAGATTGGAGCACATATGAGATTGGTCAGCATCAGCATCAGTCAAAGAAATTGGTTTGGAGACAACTTACATGAAACAGTTATGCTGAAGGGCAAGTCGCCATTGTGATATTGAGGTACTTGTGATTTTATAGCATAACCTTTTGATCAAGAGCAGTCCCATTTACATTCAAGCTCAACTGCTTGCAGGTCATCCAGCTGACTGTGTGCTTTTGGA